TGTGGGCAGCAGGCGGTGGCGCGTCCCGCCGGACTCTGCCGAGGATGGTGGCAGCCCGTGTCCCAGCCCTTCACCGAGGGTCGGCTCCCCGGCCTGGATCCTAACTGGCGACTAGAAGTGACAGCCAGCAGTCGGGTCGGCCCACGTGCAAGCTTCGCAGGCCAGAACCTCTCATGGCAACGAGCCGACCAGATTGGAAACTCGGCTTCAGTGTCTGTCCCATATGGAAAGTAGGGAGACCCGCCTGCCTTTCCTAGTTTGGGTCTCCCAGATCAGTAACTTAAGTATGATCCTGAGGGTCGGTGGCTGGTTCCAGCGGTTGGATGAGCAGAAAATCTTAGTTTTTCTAAACTAGAATTGGTCACTAAAACAAACAGCTTTTAGGTCTCCCTTCCCCCACCCTGTGGTAAGAAGGATGAACTGAGCACCGAGTTAACCGGCAGGTTAGTGGACGGAAACCTAGGACAGAAGTGTGAGCAGTGAAAAATGGAAAGGTAATAGTCACTCATCTACACAGGTCCAGGCCTAGAAAAATACCAAAGATTTGGTAGTTGAAGTAGACCAGTGGTTTTGTTTGTCTTGTAAGTTCGAATCCGATTCATCTTTATTGTTTTAGAAAACTCCCATGGGCTCATCCTACAGCTTTGGAAGTCATTATCTTCTGTGTTCATTAAAAAAAAAAAGTTACAAGTCTAAGCTCCATGATTGTACTAGTGAAGTTTTCAAGTCTTGTTATATTTGTGCAGATAAAGTTTTGTATGGAATGAAAAATTTTTTCTTCCTTGGATTAATCTAGTACCTTGTAAATCCTCCTGGTGGTCAAATTTTTGAGCTAAGTAATCATTGTGAATTTAATAGTACTCTTTGGATTGTCTTTTTCTGAAGTTTGTTGAAGTGTGTGTCCACTTTACCAGACAGCCTGAATTTGAGGAATGAAGTGAGTTTTTCATACATTGAAGTTAATAATGACTAATAGTATTGTTGAGTAGCTACTTACATGTTTTGTTTACCTATTGTGTACACTACACTTGGGGATGATTTGTTACCAACCTTCTTAACACACGACAGCAGATTTTCAGTTTTGATTTTTCACTCTTCATAGGAAGTGGAAGTTAAGACATAAAGTTAAAGAAGTATAAAAAAGGAGTGGAAGTTAGTCCAAAACAAAATAGGGGGCTGGGGTAAATAAGTGGAATTGGGAATAAGTTCCAGAAAATTGTTAAAAGTTGTCTGTAATGATGTAGTATCTACCTGGGATTATGGAATCTAAATGGTATTATCGTGATGTTAATAATTCTCATCACTCACAGTGGTTCTCAACATCCCTAATGCTTTAACCTGACCCTTTAACATGTTGTGTTTAACATGCCCTCATGTTATGGTGACCTCCTACCCATAAAATTTTTTTTGTTGCTACTTCATAACTGTAATTTTGTTAGTTATGCATCATAATGTAAAATGCCGGATAGCTGATACTGGCCTCCGGTGAAAGAGTCATGAGGCTGGGCGTTGGTGGCCCACGCCTTTAATCCCAGCACTCAGGAAGCTGAGGCAGGCAGATCTAGGTGAGTTCAAGGCCAGCCTGGTCTACAGAGTTCCAGGACAACTCCAAAGTAACACAGAGAAGCCCTGTCTTGAAAAACCAAAAAGAAAAACAAAGGGGGGTCATATGGGTCCAAGGGTTCAAGACTCAAGTTGAAATGTTTTATTTCCATTCTCATGATACAGTATAAGAATAGTTTGACTCCTGGGTTTTAAAATGATACTGATTATAATGTTACCTTAGCATTTTCTAGATTTGTGGCCATAAGCAAGTTATACTGTCTCATTATGTAAATGGTTGTAATGAGACCTGCAATTCAGAGTTACTTTGTTGTTTTTTGCTTGTTTGGTTTTGAGACAGGGTCTCACTGTGTAACACTGTATGGCCTAGATCTCACTATGTAGACCAGGCTAGCATTGAGCCTCACAGAAATCTGCCTAGCTCAACATCCTGAGTGCTGGGTTTAAAAGAAGTGTGCCACCATGAGAGTAACTTTGTATTTTAAGTGAGCATTAAGCAGGGCCACCTAGCACTTGTAGATAATCAGTAAATATAGTTTTCAGTGATGTTTTCTTTTTTTTATCCTATGGACATATTTAGGCTGCTAAGATCTAGTATCTGAGGTTTATTTTGTGCCTCATTTCCTAAGGCCAGAAAGATAAGTATTTTCTATAGTATATATTTACTATGAATTTTGTGGAGTTTGTTTTTTGATTTACATATTTGGAGGTTTGTTAAAATTGAATTTTGTCACCTTACATGGCAGTTGAGTCATAGTACTAGCTTCTGAATTTTGATGTTTTAGCATTTAATCTTTTTTTGTAGGGGTATGCAAACAAGGCTAAATTTTCATTAAACAAAATAATCATAATCCTTAAACAAATTAGTATGTGAATTTAAAAAAAAAAAATACCCGAGTTGAGTATGATGGTAAGTGCCTATAGTTTCAACACTTTGGGGAAGTTGGGGGAGAATCACTTGAATCCTGTACTTGAAGACCAACTTGGGCAACTGAGTGAGAGTTCTATCCCCAAACTATAGAAAATATTCATTTTATGTCAGGATCAAGTGCTTTGCCTTGTAAATGACCAGTTTAATGCTACTTGAAGTATCTTTTTTAGTTACTTGCCCTAATTGACTATCCTTTTCAGTAGACAGCATTTTACCTTTTCAGACCTTTCAGTTGAAAAAATGGACTTAGTAAAGCTATAGACCTCTTAATATTCATGAAGGAAAAAGATAGGATTTTTCCCAGTAAAAAGGTGAGAACTAGTGGCCAGAGAAATTCCTCAGAGGTTAAATGCAGTAGTCACTTCCTGAGGGCCAGAGGTACAATCCTAGCACTCTTGTCACAGCTGTGGCTTTAGCTCCAGGGCATCCGGAGTCTGTTCTTGTGGGTCTGCTGTCACGTACAGACAGGCAGACACACACCTGTCTGTCTGACGGTCTGTCTATCGGCTTATTTATTTATTTATGACGACTAGGGAGCATACATTTCTGGCATTATTTACTTGAACGTTTTTTACTATCCTGTTATGTAGAGGAGTGGAAAAAATGTTTTACTTTGTATGACTGGAATGATGTGCAGGATGTAGATGCAGGGTTGAGTAACCTACTGGGAGGTAGGGACAACGCAACTTTAAAACCATTTTACTAGATTACCTACATTTCAATTGAACAAATTACAAATTAAGTTTATTCAAAAGGTATCCAGAGTTTTAGAGGTAACTTCTGTCTGTGTTCAGCTGTCTCAGGCATTTGCTTTGTTTTTAATCTGTGCATGTATTTAGATTTTTTAGGCAGAATCTCATGTGTCCCCAGGCTGGCCTCAACCTCTCTAGCCAATTTGAATTCTGTTACCTTGAATTCTAATCCCTGCTTCTATCTCTTGTATACTAGCATTTCGGGCATGTACAACTACCCCCAGTTTATGCTGACTTAGGGATAGAACCCAGGGCTAGCTACCAACTGAGCTACATCTTTGGCCCTCAGCTAGTTGTTCTCTAGCTAAATTGATTTATTACACAAGATCTCAGAGAACTGACCCAGGTAAAAACTGAGCATGAAGCAGTCCTGTCTTACTCATTTCCTTTAAGGATCTATTTACACTAGTAGTTTAAGAGTAAGGGCATTTTTCAAGTATTTTGAAAAACAGGACCTGTAGTTTATTTTATTTTTGTTTGTTTCTTATATTCTATTTTTGAGGCAGGATCTCCAATTTGGATCCTCCTGCTTCTGCCATCTAAGTTCTTGGATTATATGTGCATGCCACTTGAAGATGTGTGTTTTAGAGAAAAGTGTGATTACTCAGAAGGTGACCATTTTTGCACAAATAAGTACATTTATGTTTTGGTTTCTTTAAAATGGTGTCTCCTATAGCCCAGGATTTTATCAGATTCACTTAGGATGGCTTTGGACTCTGGTCCCTTGGCTTGGGCTTCCCAAGTGCTGGGATTACATACAGGTATGTGCTTGGTTTATGGGCTTGGTTTATGCAGTTCCAGTGATCAAACTCAACATGCCCAGACTCTACCAACTGAATTGAATCCCCAGCCCTGTTTTATTTGGGAGGTGGGAGAGGCAGGCTAGTAATGTAGACAAGGATGGATTTGAACTCTCAAGGTTCTCCTGCCTCAGCCTTCAAAGTGCTGCTTGGCTGGAAATTTGTATCTTGAAGAGATGACTTTTCTAATTTCCAGAAAATACCGAGTGTACAGAAATAGCTTAGTAAGTTCTTCACTACTCCCTATTCACTCCTCAACTGAATGAAGAGAGTCACTGTCATTTCCCACCCCCATCCCCACCCCCACCCCCCTTGAGACAGCCTAACTTTTGTGGCCCAGGCTAGGTATATAACCCCTGTCAGTTCTCCTGCCTTAGCTTCCCAACTGCTGGGATTATAGGAGTGAAGGAGCCACCACGTCTGAACTTCAACTAGATTACTGTGAAGAAAATCCTAATCATTTCAGTATTGTAATAATTTTTGTAAAAGCAAGTTTTTACTTAGAAAACTTATTGTTAGTATTACTGAAAAGTATTTACTTATTGTATTTGTTGTACTGGGCCATTGCAAATAAATTAGTTATTTGTTTAGTTAGTATTTGGCTTTGGAATTTTAAAGATTAATTTTATATGTATGAATGTTTTGCCTACATATGTGTATGTATACCATATGTGTACATGTGTGTGCCTGGTGCCCATGCAGTCACAAGAGGACATCAGATGCCGTGGACCTGAAGTTATGACTGTGACCCAGTTCCTCCACAAGTAATGAGTGCTCTAAACCACTGAGCCATTTCTTCAATCCTACCTTCAGGGTTTTTTTTGTTTGTTTGTTTTTTAATAATTCATCTATTATTTTACATCCTGGCCACAGCCCCCCTCCCTTTTAATATTTTGATCATGATAGTGCTCAACCAAGAATTTAAAGTAGAGTTCTTTAGTAATCATTCTGAATGTGAGACAGGTAGGCATTGAGCTAGAACACAACTGAGTGCTGAGCCAAACTCAGTGAATTGGATTGAATGCAGTAGAATTTACTGAAACAATTACTTTGACATAAGAAAGATGGTGGAACATTTATTTAGCTTCCTTCCTTCCTTCCTTCCTTCCTTCCTTCCTTCCTTCCTTCCTTCCTTCCCTCCCTTTTTTTTTTTTTTTGTTGTTTTTCCCTGTAGCTTTGAAACCTGTCCTGGAACTTGCTCTGTAGACCAGGCTGGCCTCAAATTCACAGAGCTCTGCCTGCCTCTACCTCCTGACCACTGGGATTAAAGGCATGCGCCCCGATATTTAGCTTTCTTTTAAAAGCTGAATTTTTATGAGAAGTTTAGCCCTGTTGGTTCTGAGGCTGTTTAGAGCAGAAGCCACATAATTTACAGAGTACTAAGAAGTTGTTTTTCCAGTAAGAAATTATGATTTATTTTGTGGGCTTGGGATATAGTTCAGTTGATAAAGTGTTTGCCTAGGATATATGAATCTCTAGATTCCATTTCTAGCATTACATAAACCTGGCATGGTTGTGGTGCCCTCCTATAATCTCAATATTTAGGGTAAGAAGTTCAAGGTCATCTACTCATAGGGAGTTTGAGGCCACTCTGGGCTGCTCTACCTTTAAAAAGAAATAAAAATCAAAAAGTTTTGCTGTATTTAAACCAAATTATTTAAGGAAAAAAGGAAAGAAGTGTATGTTAGCTCCCGGGATGTTGCTATGAGGCAGAAACAGTTTTACTGCTCTTTTGAAGCTATTCCTGTTTGACAATCTATAAATACGTCTTTCTTCAGTTGGAAAGCATTTGAAGCCTATATGCTTTTATTTTGATTTTCCTACTTGCTTGTGTTTGGATAGGAAAAAGATTTTGAACTTGCTAAGTGGTAGTGCAAATGCCTTTAATCCCAGCATTTGGGAGGCAGGCAGATCTCTGAGTTCAAAGCCAGTCTGGTCTACAGAGTTCTAGGATAGTCAGAGCTGTTACACAGAGAAACCCTGTCTTGAGGGGGAAAAAATATTTTGAACTTGAAAAGCAGCCATCTCTTTCAGAGAAATGGTTCAATTCAAATGATGTTGGGTGTATATTTGTTAGGGTATGAGTATGTATGTACATGAGGAAATTATAACTAACCTCTCTTCTAAAGAAGCTGGCTCTTTAAGGAAGGCAACCTGAATGTTTTTGTTTTTTTTATAGTCCAGGCTGGCCTAGAACTCCACACATAGTAGAGGATGGCAGTGTACTGAGCCTCCTGTCTCCACTCTCCAACTGCTGGAATTCAGGCATGAGCCACCAGGATACCTGGATTAAAGGCATGTGCCACTAACGACTGGCAGGAGCCAAAATTTTAAAAATTCCTGTGGAAAGCTACTGAGCCTTCTTTAGTTGGGCTGTAGTGGTGATAGTTGAGGCTGTTTGCTCTCTTAAGAGAGTTAATATGATGGTTTATTAGTAATTTCAGGGCAGGTTTGTTGCTTGTATTTGAGGGTAATGGTAATAGACAGTGGCTTTCCTTTCATGGTCCTTTATGCATTGAGGCAGGTGTCATGACTCTGCCTAGAATTTATTTATAGGAACTGCCTCTTGCTACTAAAATACATTCTGTCCTGGCTTGGTGGCATATGCCACAAATCCTAGCATTCTAGAGGTGGGATGGAGGATTTTTAGGGAGCCTCCTGTTTGCATGGATAGGAGCTGGTTCTCTTTTGTTGTGGGGAACCAGAGAGTAATAGGGACAGGGTATATAGAATTGGTATTGAAGGTATCATCAGGGTGCTGCTTATTTTCAGTCATAGTTCTCTCTTGGCTTTGTAGTACCAAACCGAGACTTGGTGATCAGTATCTTTAAATTTCTAAACAAAATAAAACCTTATGTGCGCAACTTGAAGTTTGAAGGTGTTTAACTGATACAATTGTATATATCTGGACATATTTCATATATTAGTATGTACCTTAGCTCTGCTTTTTTAAAATGAGATTCTCTATGATCTAGGGAAGTTCATTCTAGAACTGATTGAAAGAACACATCTTAGTAAGAGGAACGTAGTTTGCAGTTACTTTATATTCCAAGTCTCAGAGGAAGTTACGTTCTGTGTCATTTTGTTCCATTCAGAGCAAATTCCTATATTGTTTCTTACTAGATCATTTGTTGGCTACATCTGAGCTACAGTTTTCTTCTGTAAAGTGGGATGGTGCTGCTTTACTTTTAGGAGTGTTACAAAGATTAATGTTACAACATGAAAAAGCTTGTAGCATAATTTTGAGTGGAAAGTCAGTGCTCATCAGTATGTGCTGTTAGTATTATTATCTTATTTTAAATCTGCATTCCCTGGAATACACATGTCCCTGCTGTCTGAAACACTGTTTAAGCAGCGTATTATAGACCACCCCAAAATGCCTGATAGTCAACTTTGTTTTGCTCTTTGGTTCCCCTTGTACTACAGTTTTGATATAAGAACTAAGGCAATAATATAGTAAGGTAATACAAACATTTGATTTTTAATTTGTAACTCTAGTATCTTCTTAGTTATCCAAATAATGACTAATTGATTTGTTTTCAGTCTGTTAAAACTCAAAACCATGGTTTAAATTGACAAGTGGTTGTAATAATATATTTACTAGGGGGCTGGCGAGCTGGGCTGCTCTTCCAGAGAACCTAGGTTAGATTTCTCAGCACCCACATGGTAGTTTACAACTGTAACTCCAGTTCCAGGGGATTCAAACTCTCTTCTGGTCTCTGGTACATAGACATACACAGACACAGGAAGTAGAATGTTGGGATTAAAATATACACACACATATAGACAAACATATTTACTTGTATATAAAATTATTCCTGTTCTGCTTGTTCAACACATTGCAGCTTCAATAAAGAGGACAGATTTTTAATTTCTTTGCTGGATGTACAAACTTGTCTTAATTGAGGTTTAGTGTATATATACCTGGATTGATTTAGATCTGTGATCTGTAATGCTATAAAGCTAGAAGCTTGTGTTTATGTCATAGTTGTGGTATATTAGTCAGCTTTTGCCTCTTCTACTAGCGTCAGGGCTTCCTGCTTTGCACCTTCCCTCTGATGGCTCATCTTCAAATGACATGTCACATTGTGTCTGGTGATTACTGAGACTGTGTTCTACCTATAGATTAAAGCCCCATTTAAATTTAAGGCTATCTCCATCCCTACTATATTGGAATCTTCTAAATTCTAGAGTCTTTAGAAAATTAGGTTTGTATGTAGCTCAGTGATAGATAGGCATAGAAAATCCAGGGTATAGGTCTAACTCAGAGGGTCTTGCCCGGCCTAAGGAGGCAGAGCCATAAAGGGTTAATTAGTTCTTTAGACTAATCTCTTAATACTGTGTCTAAAATATTGTGTAATTTGATTCATTGACTATAGTTATATTGTAAGCAATACTGCTAGAAACAAATGACCCATTGGCTAGACAGCAGAATACCTGGTTCATTTGGTAAATGAAACAACTGATAATCAATGGGTAGTACACACATGCCTGTAATCCAGAATGCAGTAAGGGAAGGCAACAGGATTGTGAGTTCAAGGCCATTTGAGGCTACATAGATAGACACTGTCAAACTAAAAATAAGATAGCAATTAGAAATTTGAGCTTGTTACCTTGTATTTTGATTGGTAAGCTTTTTATGGTGTTAGATAAGTGGATATAAAAGCTTATATGGAAAAACGTGATAGTAAACATTTAGAATCCTAAAAGGGTGAACAACATTAAACATACATACATTATTTTAAGTCTGCAGATACTAAACATACCATAAAGCTTTGGTAATGAAAGCAGTGTGGTACTAAGTGGGTGTTAGTTAAACCTATAACCAACCCCTACACTCAGGATTTGGAGCAGGGTCATATAGACTAGCTTAGTCTATATGGCAAGATCTGTGGTTCTTTACTGTAGGTGGATCAGGGATGTAAATATATGAAAAAAACAAAACAAAACAATGAAACCATATATATTCTAGAAGAAAACATGGTGAATTCTTTGAGATTGTCTGACTTAAATCCAGAGGTAGCAAAAGCCAGTGACTTGGAGATTTTATTGTATTTGAGGGACAGTTTCATTAAGAGAGGTGCCTATTTCTGTTCTGCTCACTAGTGTAAACAGAACTAGATTGAGCTAGTACGATTAGAAGAATTAGTAAAACTGGTATGGAGGACCTTCATGTCTTCGATGCCTTGGAGGCAGAGGCATGTAGATCTCTGTGTTGGAGGCCAGCATGGAATATGTAGTGAAACCCTGTCTCAAAAGTACACTCTGTTGTTTTCAGGCTATGTGGTATGGGTTGTATAGTATATCACTTATTCAGAAGCTTGGGGCCACAAGTATTTCCTTCCATTTAGGGACTTTTTTTCCTTCAGATTTTGAGGAGTATATGTGTACACATAATGGTATGGGACCCAAGTAAACATGAAATTTTTTTGTTTTAAATATACTTTACACACATAGCTGGAAGGTAATTTTACACACTATTTTAAGCATTTGTTCTATTTGACTAAAGATCTATCAATGGATCATATGTGGAATTTTATTATTTTTTGGTAGTACTGGGGATTGAATTTTATGCATACTAGGCAAGCATTTACCATATTCCCTAGCTTCCTATTGTTTTTACTTAATTTTGAAACAGGATTTCTTACTTTGTAGAGGCAGGCCTTAAACATTGATCTACCCTACCTCTCAGGTCGCTGGGATTACATTCAGATTTGTGGTCTAGGCCCAGTTGTAAGTGTGGAATATTCTTGTGGCAACATGTTGGTACTCAAAAATCTTTGGAATTTTGGAACATTGAAGATATTTGGATTAGAAAACTTTAAAGAATTGATGATGAACCTAACTTAAGTGTCCTCCCAAATTACTAATGTTCAAAGCCCAATAGCGTTTGCTATATACAAATACCTAATTATAAAGCATGATGAGGGCAAGGGAAACCTATAAAAGCAACAGAATTTAAAAATTTATAGGAATTTACAGAATACTAGGAACAACCACAAAATGAAACGTGTAAAACTTCTTACACTCCTGAGATACAAAAGTAGACTTAAAATGGGAAGATAACCCTAGACAAAGGGCCTTACTGTTATAAAGGCTATAATACCAAAAAGTACCAACAAGCTTGTTTGTGCATATTTAGGTTAACCATAGATATCACATAGGAAAGAAAACATGTAAGAATTACTAATGGAGGTTCTTGTCTTCAGGATAACTGGGATGATGATGATGATGAAAATAAAGAGGAAGCTGAAGTAAAACCAGGTGAGTCACTGATATTCATTCCTTCATTGTTTTAAACCAGATGCCCCTCTATACTTTTTCTTTAAGTACCTGCTGGTTTTCTGTTGGAGAAAAGTGTAGGTGTAGGAGATAGAAAGTAGAGGAAATGGTTATTTGAATGATCTTCCCTTGTCTATTTGCATCTCCCGGGGTGAGATTTGAAATGAAAAGGAAGAGTACTAAAACTTTATCATTTCCAGAATATGTGACTCTGAAAGCTAGGGAAGGTTTCGTCTCTTCAGGTGTTCAATCAAGCATCATGTCTGCCGTAGCCATAGACTAGAAAGTGTTCAATATAATCGTAAATAAAATATTTCTTTCAGAAGTAAAGATTTCAGAAAAGAAAAAAATAGCAGAAAAGATAAAAGAGAAAGAACGGCAGCAGAAGAAAAGGCAAGAAGAAATTAGAAAGAGGGTAAGTTCTATCACTTTCCTTAAAATGTATACAGAATTCATAATGTGTCGGTTGTGGTACAGTGTGTGCCGTCTCCCCCCCACCCCACCCCCGCAAAACAGGGTTTCTCTGTGGCTTTGGAGCCTGTCCTGGCACTCACTGTGGATACCAGACTGGCCTTGAACTCACAGAGGTCTGCCTGCCTCTGCCTATCTACCTATCGAGTGCTGGGATTAAAGGCATGTGCCACCAACGCCCAGCTGTGGTACAGTGTCTTAACTGGCTGCAAATATTACATAGCAATTTGAAGGGCTCTGTAAAGACAAAATGGATATACTGTAAGATAGGTGAATCCCAGAAAAAAAATTGATTTGTAGTTTGCGAACCCAGAAGTCTTATATCTGAAAATATTTTCAGTTTCATCATAACAGTTAGATTGGGCAGTGACCACCCTTAATGGTTTTTTTGTTTTTGTTTTTTTCTTTTCTTTCTTTCTTTTTTTTAAATTTTTTTATTTTTTTTATTATTTTTTTTTGCTAGAACCTGCAGTTTTGTTTTTTTTCTTTCAGTGCTGGGATTGAATTCAGGGCCTCATGCATGTAAGTGATCCCTCTACCACTGAGCTATATGCCTAGCCCACCTGTGGCTATTTCTAATCAGTTATACACAGTGAACACAGCAAACAAATGTTTGTCATGCCCTAAAGTGGTTTATTCTTGATTATTTTGTAGCAGGATCCAGCAATATTGCTGTATTTATTTTAATAGGAAACATTTTCATAATTCAAATATAAAAATTATTACAAAACACTCCTAACCCCTTAGTTACTTATTCTGTCTCCACTATCCCACATCTCATGTAAACACTTGTCCCTTATCTGTCCAAGATACTTTTTTTTTTTTTTTTTTTTTTTTTTTTTTTTTTTTTGGTTTTTGAGATTGGATTTCTTTGTGTAACAGCTCTAGCTGTCCTAGAACTCACTTTGGTTGACGCCAACTCACAGAGATCCACCTACCCCTGCCTTCTGAATGCTGGGATTACAGGTGTGTGCCACTACTGCTTGGTTTGTCCAAGATATCTTTATATTTCTGTATGTATTATCCCTGCCTCTTTGTGATAGTCTTTAGCTGTATAACCTAGGGTGACCTAGAACTTGGTTTCCCATTGCCCCCACTTTTCAAATGCTGAGATTACAGACATCACTAACTGGCTGTCCTTTTTTGTGTAGTTTCCACTTTTATTTACTGTAGAGATCTTTTCCATACACAGTGTGGAAAAAACTCTAATATTTTTCCTCACTTTTTTTCCTTTTTGTTTTTTTGAGCATTCTCTCCCCTCCCTCCCTCTCTCTCTCTCTCTCCCCTCTCCCCCCACTCCCCCTGGGTTTCTCTGTCTTGCTTTGGAGCCTGTCCTGGAACTTGCTCTGTAGACCAACTGCCTCTGCCTCCCGAGTGCTAGGATTAAAGATGTATGCCACCAATGCCCGGAGAGCATGCTTTCTCTATGTAGACTTTTCTGTCCTGGAAGTCACTCTGTAGACCAGGTTGGCCTCTGCTTTCTGAGTGCAGGGATTAAAGGCATGGGCTATCATTCCCTGGCCTTCTTTACTTTTTGTTAAGAAAAATCCTCAAATATGAAAGTAGGAAAATAATCAGGCATGGTGTTGCACTCCTGAAATCCCAGTACTCTGGAAGTCTGAATTACATTTGTAATTTGTAATAGCTTGGCTTGTATTGTAAGGCCTGGGCTCATAAAGCCAGATCTGGTGGTATTCATACTTATAATCCTGGCACTTAGGAGACAGAAGGAGGAGGATTTCGAAAAGTTGGATGCTAGCCTGGTCTACATAGCAGTTCTAGGCGAACCAGGGTTACATTGAGTGTGAGACTGTTTCAAAAACAAGTAATACATATCACTTAATACTGTTAATGTGTTGCCAGATTTCATTTATTTTTGCTTTGCTTAATATAACTAATATACATTTTACCTTTAAACCCTGAGAAGGGATTTTTTTTTTCATGATTGCATAAATACCTGATATTTAGAAACAGGTATATATGTGTGTATTTATACATGTATAAATACATACATACATAAGGTTGTTTTACTGCTGTAAGAAAGAGATGTAGCATGAGATTATTGGTAGAGTGCTTACCTATGTGGGAGGTGCTATGGTTCAGTCAGTCCCCAGTATTGCTCTTTTGCGGGAGGGGATTACAGGGGAGACCATGTCTGTGTGTAGCCTTCGCTGTTCTGGGACTTGCTCTGTAACTCAGGCTGCCTGAAGTGCTGGTAGTAAAGGTGTGTGCCACTATGCCCGACTCTGCCAAAAAATTTTAATAATTTTACTTTGTTTTTGTTTTGTTTTTTTGAGACCGGGTTTCTCAGTAGCTATGAAGTCAGTCCTGGAATTCACTCTGTAGACCAGGCTGGCCTCAAAGTCATTCGCTTGCCTCTGCCTCCCAAGTGCTGGGACTAAAGGTGTGTGCTACCACCACCGCCTGTGTAATTCTTCCTTTTTGAATAAACTGGTAAGGTTTTTGTAATTTGTGTTTTACTCAAATACAGTAGTTTATTTGAGAATTATATACTTGCATACATTTAATATTTATGTGTTTAAATCAAACCCCTAGTTCCTCCCTTCCCTTCTTTCCCATTACTCTCCCTCCCAACTTCATAAGCTGTTTTTAACAACTCAGAGTCTACTTAGTGCTGCCAGTATATAGATGGGTATAGGACCATCTACAAAACCCTGTGTTCAATCCTTAGCACTTCATCAAACAATGTGTGGCACATGCCTATAACCCCATTGCTTGGGAGATGGAAGCAGGGGATAAGGAGTTCAAGTCATCCTAAGTTACATACTGAGTTTGAGGCAAGTCCTAGGGAGTTGGGGAAGCTGTCTGTCTGTGTGTTTGTTCACAGCACCCTCCACTACCATATATGGTACACACATACATGAATGAACAACTATATGAAGATAAAAACTTTGAAGTTTCAAGCAGGGTATAGTTCTGCATGCCTATAATTCCAATGGGAGGGTTGAGTTTGAGGATAGCCTGGGGGTACAGATAGAGAGCAAACAAATAAATTTATAATGGGTGTGCATGGTGGTATATACCTGTAATCCCATCCACCCCTTACTACATGGGACTATCTCAAAAAAAATGTATAAAACTAAAAAACTCAAAAAAAAATAAATATTATAAAGTTTAAAGCTGTTAAGTGGAGTTGAGGATTTGTTTTATTTTGTTTTTCAAGACAGGGTTTCTCAGTGTAGCCTTGGCCATACTGGAACTAGTTCTTTTCAATTTGGACTATATCCTAACTTTTTTTTTTTTTCTATTTTTTTTTAAGTTTTATTTATTATGTATACAGTGTTCTGTCTGCATGTGCCCCTGCAGGCCAGAAGAGGGCACCAGATCTCATAATGGATGGTTGTGAGCCATCATGTGGTTGCTGGGAATTGAACTCAGGACCTCTGGAAGAGCAGTCAGTGCTCTTAACCTCTGAGCCATCTCTCCAGCCCCCTATCCTAACTTTTTGAGACAAGGTCTTATTATATAGCTTTGGTTGGCTTGGAATATATGATGTAGACAAGGCTGGCCTCTAACTCAGAATAACACCTGTCTATGCTGGGATTAAAGGTGTGTACCACCTTGTCAGGATTATTTCAGACTACCCCTACCTTATTTTTTTAAAAAAGATTTTAAAGAATATATCCTACTTAGTGTATGTTATGTAATCAAGTGGAAGGTTCTAATGTTATTATTTCCCTTGTGTTATTTTACCTACAGTTTTGTTTTTTTTGTTTGTTTGTTTGTTTGTTTTTCCGAGACAGGGTTTCTCTGTGTAGCTTTGGAGCCTGTCCTGGCATTCACTGTGGATACCAGGCTGGGCTTGAACTCCCAAGTGCTGGGATTAAAGGCATGCAACACCACCACCTGGCTTTTTGTTTTTAACCTCTTTACATTTCCTCTCCATGAACAGGCAGGAACATATGTGAGGATTCAAAGGTGCTTCACTTTTCCCCAGTAACTAATTCAAGTAACATACCTCTGTAGAAAATTATATCACAAGGTGTAGAAAAGAAACTAGACTGCTGTCTACCCTTTCAGAGGGCTTTACATTACTGGGGTGTCACTTGATTATTTTGGTTACATTTGTAATTCTACAATAAAATAGAACTTTTTTTCTGATGCTCTGAAAACACTTTTAATGTCTACATTGTCAGATGAGCAGTGCTACACTTTAACCATTCTATAGTTGAACATTTAGGATGTTACTAAATTTACTTGCAATTATAAATAATATTCTAATGAATATCTTTGTGTTCATCTTAGGTTTCACCCCCTCCTCCCATTTTATGTGTCTGTGAGTTTTGCCTTGCATGCATTTGAGTGCCTGGTGACCTCCGAGGCCAGAAGAGGGCTTGGGTCCCCTTAAACTGGAGTTATAAATGGTTATGAGCCCCCATGTGGGTCCTGGGGAGAACACAAGGTCCTCTGGAAGAACAGCCAGTGGTAATCTTTACCATTGAGCCATCTCAATGCCTCCTCTATTTAAAAAGAAGAGATTTTTTTTGAGTGTTTTCCCTGCATGTATATTTGTACTGTATTCACATGGTAACTTTGGAGGCCAGAAGAGGGCCTTTTATCCTGGAACTAAATTCCTGAGTCAACATGGGGGTGCTGGGATTTGAATCTCAGTCCTGTGGAAGGGTAGTTAGTGTTCTCTTTAGCCATCACGTCAGGTTTCTTTCTTTTTTTTTTTTTGTTTTTTTGTTTTTGTTTTGTTTTGATTTTTGGTTTTTTGAGACAGGGTTTCTCTGTAGCTTTGGGGCCTGTCCTGGAACTAGCTCTTGTAGACCAGGCTGGTCTCGAACTCACAGAGATCCGTGTACCTCTGCTTCCCAAGTGCTGAGATTAAAGGCGTGCACCACCATCGCCCGGCATGATCTACTCATTTTTATCAATAGATGGAGAAATAAATAGCCTCTACCTCCTTGGGTTCACCCTGTTAGATGTTACTTCGTATTACTGTGTGCAAGTTTTATTTAATTATCTGTATAAATGAAATATGAATAGCTAGCCTTTAAAGTGTTTAGAAGAATGCTAAAATACAGTAATCATTTTTATGTGCTTACTTGTTAAAGTGCTGACATAAAATTCATACAATACAAAAATACTGTGTCCACTATAAGTGAAACTTGTGTTTTATTTTAGTTAGAAGAGCCTGAAGAACCTAAAGTGCTAACACCTGAAGAGCAATTAGCAGATAAACTCCGTTTAAAGAAGCTACAGGAAGAATCAGACCTTGAATTAGCAAAAGAAACTTTTGGTAAGATGGTGGGTGCAATGTTGCTATTCCAGGTGAAAAATTCTTCCAGTCTTACTACTTTGTAGAAGATCAAAAACCATGTTTTTAAATGACACATACAGCGTTAAGCTCTTGTTTATATATTTGAGATTACTTGACAAAGTATTGGCATGCTTTCAGATGTTTTGAGTAATTTTTAGAGTATTTAAGATTATAAAACACCGTTTTTAACACATTCCTATAATCCTAACACTTGGAAGGTCTTAGCCTTAGTGGTAGCTAGCTAAGGCTATATAGCAAGACTGCCTCAAGACATCAGTAGACCCGGTAAAGTGTACTGTTGCCTAAACTAGTGAACTGGATAGATTCTGGTGTCTACAGCTTTTTAACTAAAATAGTGGACTGTCTTTGGGGACATCCTGTTCCCCTAAGTCTAAATAGGACTTGGGCAGAACATGTTAGTCCATGTAGAATATTCAGTTTTGGCTTTGCCTTGTGTTCGGAGTTGTTTCTTTTTCTTGGCCTTTATAGTACACCATCTTTCAGGGCCATCAGTTATCTTAACAGCTTAGGAAGTCAGGGCAGGAAGTAAAGCAAAAGCCATGGAGGATTGCTGCTTACTGGCCTGCTCTCAGTAAGTCTGCTTTCTTACAGTTCCCAGGATCACCTGCTCAGGAGTGGCACTGCCCACATCTAGCTGGGCTGTCCCACATAAATCAGAAATCAAGAAAATGGGCCATAGGCCAATCTGGTGGGGTCATTTTCTTTTCTTGGTTGAGGTTTCCACTAAACAAAGGACTTTAGTTTGTGTCGTGTTGATTTAAAAACTAGCCAGCTACCTAAGGAAGAGTTAAAAGACATAGTAGAGAAATCCAGAATACTTCATTTGTCAAATTTGTCATTACCCTGTGAAAAAATTCACCCAAGGCCTTCTCTAGAACACAAGAGACTTGCTTGTTCCCCTTTAGGAAAGTCTGACCATACTCTTCAGTGGGTCTCTAGCAATTTCAGCTGTGAATGTGGGTGTTCCTCTATTCATGGCAGCCCATGTGTGTTCAGAATAGAAAATCTCATGGGATACCAGTTACAAATTAAGAAGTGAAAAATGAAATAACACAGTCATTGTTTGGTTAGTAGGAATTTACTGTTTCTTGCACTTACAATGCTGAATCTGTAGTTTTGCTAGGTCATTTATTGACCTTGAAAAAGGTATATACATAATCATACTTTTCGCCTAGAATTCTTTTAGGCTAGATTTATTTTCTCCGTGTGTTTTTTTTTTTTTTTTT